AGCAAGTGCGGGCGGCCAGAGGGGATCAGAAAACGGCGGGGCTGCGGGCGGTGCGCGTGGGGGAGGGGACCAGAGCCGGCCGAGCGGAGCGAGCCCCCTGGGCTGCTGAGGGGAGAGAGCGGAGTTCCTGTATGCAGACAGCTCTGTGGGGGCGGGGCCCCAGCAGGAGGAAGACGGGGGGCGGGAGCAAAGCCTCGCAGTAACGCCAGGGAGAGCGGGGGAAGCCGCCTAGAAGGTGACCTGAAAATCAAGAGTCTGGACTCGCCATTTGATGATGTGTTTTCCCTCAGACGTGCCGCTGCGGGGCTCCTGTCGCTAAAGGACGGAGCCCAGCCAATGCCGAGCGCCTCCAAAGGGCGCACCAGCGCGCTGACCCCTTCAGGTTGCAGGGGGTGAGACTTGGGCTCAGCCTGATCCCTGGCGCAACCGCCGTTTGGTGCTCCCCTGGATCAAACAGTCGGGGTCAGCTCGGCACATATGGGGTGCGGCCTGTGATCCTAGCGCTACGCTGCTCTGGTTTGAGAGGTGGCCTCTGTTTCTGTGCTGCCTGCTCCTGTTTAGTTGCCAGCATGTGGTGGTGTTGCTGGAGCCTAATGCATCATACATACAGCCCAATCATAGGAAGTGATGTAAGTGCCAGCCTCTCCCCTCATTTCCCTGCATCCCTTGTCCTTGTGTCTGTAGCCCCAAATCAGCCATCCCCCTTCCCTATGTAGCTCTGCACACCTGCCTCTCTGCTCGTGTGGCCTTGCAATTCCATTCCCATTCATTCCTTGCCCCTTTTCCAGTCTGGCTCTTGTACATTTCAGAGGCAGAATGCCACACTAGTCCTTATTGACTAATCGAATAGTTGATGGAAATCTCATTGACTATTCAATTAATTAATCGACATTTAACGTCCCAGGTCTAACGTCCACCTCTCCTGGTGCCCCACAGTTTGTCTTGCTATAGCCCCAGTTTTCTGACAGCGTCACAGGACCTGTGAAGTAGGTTCATTTTTTTTTTTTCCTCTGTAGTAGCTGGAGCTGGCCGGGATCTAGTGCACAGTCCCCTCGAGTGGACATAAAGCAAAATTGCAGTAATTTTTCAGCAGAAACTATTTTCGGGGGGGAGGGGAGGAGGAAGCATGTGGCACATGAAATGTGTGTGCACAATGGTGCGGGATTCCCACAGGAGTAACAAGGCAGGATTACATTTGTCACTGTGGGATTGATAATCTGAAAGTGTAGTCTTTAGTGCTTGCTGTTTGATTACTTGTAAGGGTCTTGCCCTTCTTTAGTCTGTTCTTTGATTTCTCCTTCTCCATGCCAGAATCCATATTAGAGTTGGCTAGTTTGAAAAGGTTTCTAAAAAAATTCCTCTTGGCTATTCTTTCCTTTTAGGGGTAAAAATATAATTTTAGGAGAAATGTAATTTTGTTTGTATTCTGTGGGTCTTAGTTTTTATATTCATGTTTTACATTCTCTAAGTTATAATTCTCTAAGTTATTAATTTAAAAAATATTTTATAGGGGGTTTTTAATTTATTTCTATAGATTTTTTTTTTCTGATCTTTCCAATCTTTAAAGGGTACTGATGTTACTAACTCAGTACATCAGGACTTTGGACTGAGCTTGGTGAATAGGGAAAGCTGCTTCATAGTTCTTTAATTAGTGAAAGAAATAGTAAATTAAAATACCTCCCCTCACCATGAGTTTGTGAGTATTGGAGTTCAAAACATACTACAAACTATTGTCCCTTTTAATCTTTAAGGAAATGTAGCTGTTAGCTCATGAAAGAGGATTTTTATTATATAATCGTAATCTAGTGCCTTGATTATGGCTATAGTCATCTCTCCGGCCTTGACAAATGCAATTTTGTTCTCATTTATGCAGAACGTTGTTGTAAAGATGATTTTTCTATATCTCATTTGCTTTGGTCATTTTACCATCTTTGAATCATTTTGCTTCCTCTTTTTTTTTTCTCATCAAACTAGGAATTTTAAATATCAGTTAATTGAATAGTTGATTAACCTCATGAATTCTTATTGGTGACTTGACTATTCTATAGTTCCCCGGGGGTGTGGTCAGCAGCCAGTGTGCTCTGGCCCCACCCCCGAGGAGCTCCCTGCCATTCTGTGCTGCTTCCTCTGTATCAGAGGCAGCAATATGGGGTGTCAGGTGTGAGCTGGTCCATGATGGGAGCCAATTTGAAAACCAGATCCCCTCATTGACCAGTTGCCTGTTGCTCTGTGCTGCTTCCTCTAATATAGAGGCAGCAGTGCAGGGTAGCAGCAGCCCCTGTCCGGGGGGGTCTGAGCTCCAGAACCAAGTGCGAGCTGGAACTGAGCTGAGATGTCTGCCTGTCCATCTCCTAATACACTTTAAATGCAGAGCCACAGCAGGGGTAGGTCTCAGACCTGGCACAAGCTGGGACTAAGCCAGCCTACTGGCCAGCCTGCTAAAAATTTACTGGCAGGGGTGGGAGGAATGCATGTAGTCTATAGCATTAACCAATAAGCTTTTGCCTATCAGTTAATTGGTTGATTGTATTTGATGTAGGGATGTAATATTATAGACAATCTGCTTGTTATTACTTTCAGGGCTCTTACCTGTCAGTCTCCATGCTACTTGTCATCTCATGTTAGCTATTGAGCTGTCATTGTGCTCTGATTCTCTACCCAGTGGCATACATTTTCAAACAGCACTTTTGTGCTTTCTCCCATACTGTTTCTGTTCCCTATAAGCTGCATGACTCTGCAGCTGTTTTCTGAGATGTGCTCAGACGTTCAATGCTCCCAGGAAAGCAGAGAGCTCAGCTGACTGGCAAGGGGAAGGATGTTGTCTCTCTAAGGAAGCAGCTAAATGGAGCTACTGCATATTTGAAATTGAGCAGCTCTCAGAGCAGCTAAAGGGAGATAAGGAGAGAATAAGTGGCTGGGTGAGGGGGAGGAGTACAAGGAAGGAGGGAGGATGTAATTGGCTGAGGGGGAATCAGAAGGGAGGAGACTTTGGAGTGTCCCATTTGAGGGAGATGAGGCAGAAATTCAGTACTCTCCTCAAGCTTCCTGGAAAAGGGGAGATAAGGGACTGATTGCATGGGGTAGGTAGGTGCTGGCATTGGGGTGATATGGAGGCAGAGGAAGTTTGTGCTGTGTCCAGGGGTGAGGTGGGGGAGGGGTGGATAATTTGTTTGTGCTGTGGTCCAGTCCTGTGCCTGCTAGTTTGAGAAGCAGGATTTTATCCCAGCACCCACCTGGGCTGGGGGGAGCAGATTGCACAGGGGTAGGTGGGGGGGGAAAGGAGTGGGTGGGGGGAAAAAAGGAGTGGCATCTGTGCCGTGAGGTAGAGGCAGGGGACAGGTTTTTTTGGGTGTCCTGACTCACTTGCTGCAGTCCTCTGTCTGGATGAGAGGGAGAGAGAGAGAGAACATTTGCATGATTACATTTCAAACAAAGATAATATAGGTGTTAATCACTTAAGGTAAGAAAAGAAAATATTCTTTTAACAGAGTGTTGCAGATATCGAAAACTCTGATCTTAATGATTTTTTAAAATCCTGTGTCACTAATTTATACATGGCATATTGTACTGCATGAGGGCCAGATCTTTGCTATGTGGTAGAATACTGGCTTTGAGTCAAAAGTCACACTTAGTACTTGCTACATTAGTTTTGTAGTAGGATGAAATCTTATTTGCAACCTCTTTGAAACATGCATTTGTCTACAAACCCTGATGCCATGTGTTAATTTGTTCTGAGGCTTCTACTCTTTGAGTTTGTTAGGCTATGTCTAGACTGCAAGCCTCTTTCGAAAGAGAGCGTCTAGACTGCACGCGGAATTTCGAAAAAGCAAGCCGCTTTTTCGAAAGAAAGCACCCAGTGAGTCTGGATGCTCTCTTTCTAAAAAGCCTGTTTGCTTTCAAGAACGCCTTCTTTCGAAAGAGCACTTTCGAAAGAAGGCGTTCTTCCTCGTGGAATTAGGTTTACCACCGTCGAAAGAAAAGCCGCATTCTTTCGATTTAATTTCGAAAGAACGTGGCTGCAGTCTAGACGCAGGTGAAGTTTTTTCGAAAAAAGACTACTTTTTTTGAAAAAAACCCTGAGTCTGGACACAGCCTTAGTCTCTAAGGTGCTGCAGGACCATTTGTTTAAGTTTTTTTTCAGTCACGGGCTAACATGGCTACCTCTCTGGTCTTTGAGTTGGTGACACACACAAGGTGAAAGTTTCAAACCAAGAGAACTTCTATCTGTTCTTAGAATACCGATCCTAAACATTCTCCAGATAAACTGAATAAGCCCTAGTGAATGCCTTTTACTCTCCTTTTCAGTGTAAGTAAATATTATATTAGTCATGCTCTCCTTGCAGATACGATTCCTATTTGACTCCTTTGTTTAGCACTGTAAAGCTGAGGTATGTGTGGATACTATGCATTTTGGTGTGTTTACTAGCCTGAGTTGTTAGAAAGGATGATGATGATACATGCACTCCAAGAGTAGTAGTGTTAATTTTCTTTTTATTTGATATCCTATTAAATATTGTAAGCATTATTTCTTGTTAACTATCCCTTGTTTTAATATATTTTCTTCCACACACATGGTCTGCTTAAAATACACACAAACACACTAAGGGGCTGCACCCTCTATTTGCTTTGCTCACCAACCCCCTTCTGTCTGCCACAGCCAGATCCTGGCCTCCTCTCTTACCTGTGCAGCAGCAATCGGGGGGTCACCACCAGTCCTTCCTGTAGCCAGATGGGGGCTGGACTGAGGGGTCTACCCCAGGATCGGGGCCGGGAACAGGACATTGCGGCCAGGTGGAGGCTGGGCCCTGATGGGGGCCTTCTTGACCAGGCTTCATTTTAAATAAAGTAAAATATTATATTGAACAAAAAATGGCTTCATTTTCTTATGGCAGGGGTGGGAAACCTTTTCTGGGTTGGTGCGTGCTGACCTACAGAAAAATCAGTCGGGGACCACACAAGTGAGATGGGGGGAGGGGCAGAGGGAATCCCTCCTAAACCCCAACCCTCACTGATGTGGCCCCTCAACTGAAACACCTTGCTCCTCTGCTGCTCCAGCCCTAGGGGTGGGGAGGACAGGCAAGACTGAGGTTCAGGGTGTCACGTTATTGGATTTTAAGGGAGCAGCCAGATCACTGCTGCACCCATGGGGGGTGTTTGCCACAACATCTATACAAAGGGGGCCATGTGAGGTGTCAAATGAAAGCTTATGTTCTACTGATTCTATATATGCTACTCATTTACTTGTATGATGTCTGTATGTGGAGTTATGAATATGGACTGCGCTGGTATTGTGAATGTTCTCTGCCTGAGAGAGCGCAATGGGCCTGGACTGCCTGTTGTAAAGAAGGAATATTCAATGAATGACTATGCTAATTAGCACAACCAAAAGGACAGTGGCTCTCAAGGTGGCCAATACATACCTGAGGAATGCGTTTGGAAACCTGCAAACGAGTCAGTATCTCATGGCTGCTGGCATGTAAATCATGCCATAATGTGACCAGCTCCAGTTTGGGAGACACCAGAGATATATAAGTGCCATGAGGCGGACTCCATCTCGTCTTTAATATTGGTGAAGCGGGTGTCTGAGTGGGCTTGGGGTGTGAGGTCTCAGCAGGGGGATGAGTGAGGG